CCAATATACAAAAACCAACAGCTTTTCCATATACCAATGGTGAATCCACTGAAAAAGAAATCAATAAAACAATTCCATTCACAATTGTCTTATTATTTTTTAATAATAATAATAATAATAAGATACCCAGGAATAAATCTAACCTGGGAAGGAAAAGACCTTTACAATGAAAATTATAGAACATTGAAGAAAAAATGAAGAAGACCTTGGAAAATAAAAAGACCTCCAATGTTCTTGGATAAGCAGAATTAATATTATTAAATGGTCATATTATGAAAAGTGATACACAGATCAATGCAATCTCAATCAAAATACCAATGACATCCTTCATGGAACTAGAAGAAAACTTCTAAAATTCATATGGAAGAATAAAAGGCTCAGAATAGTCAAGGCTATTTTGAGCAATAAAAGCAAAGCTGGAGGTACCACTATCCCTGACTTCGAATTATACTATAGACCTATAGTAATAAAAACAGCAAGGAATTGGCATAAAAACAGACATGAACAACAATAGAAGAGAAGACAAAAAATTCCACAGACACCTGATCTTTGACAAAGGTGCCAAAAACATATTTGGGGAAAAGACAGCCTTTTAACAAATGGTGCTGGGAAAACTGTTTACCCATATATAAAAAAACGAAACAAAATCCCTATCTCTTACCCTGCACAAGTCAACTTAAAATGGATCAAAGACCTAGGATTTAGACCAGAAATTCTATAAATGCTAGAAGAAAACACAGAGTCAACACTCTTAATATACAGGTGCAGGCATTGCCTTCCTCAATAAGACTCTTAAAGTTCAGTAAATAAAACCAAGAATTAACAAATGAATGGCATCAAATTAAAACAAACAAACAACAAAAAACTGCACAGCAAAGGAAACTATTAAGATCATGGAGAGCCTACAAAATAGGAGAAAAATCCTTGCCAGTTATTCTTCTGACAGAATATCTAAAATATATACAGAACTCAAAAACTTAACACCAAAAAACAAATAATCTAATCAATAAATGGGCAAATTAACACATTTCATCTCATTCCAGTTAGAATGGCAATCATCAACAACACAAGTAATAAAAAATGCTGAAGTGGATATGGTGAAAAAGGTACATTTAAACACTGTTAAACACTTAGTTGCAAATTAATAAAACAACTGAAAATCAATAAGGAGGTTCCTCAAAAGATGAGGAATACAACCACCGTATGACCCAGCTATTGCACTTCTTGGTATGCACCCTATAGTGATACATGCATAACATTGCACAAGAGCCATTTATGGAACCAGCCTAGGTGTTCATCAGAAGATAATGGATAAAGAAAATGTGGCATGCTGAGTTTCACTCAGGCATAAAGAAGAATAAAATTGTCATTTGCAGGAAATGAACAAAACTGAACGATATCAAAGTGACATAGCCACTAGACTCAGAAAGTCAAGAGTCATATGTATTCCCTCATATGTGGAAGACAGAAAAAGGAAGAGGATCTCATGAAAATAGAAGGGAGAGCAGTAGAATAAAGGCTGGGGATTAGGGAAAGGGAGAGGAGAAAAGAAAAATATAAAGGAAAGAAATAGACCAAATTATGCTATGTGCAGATTAAATATATCCCAAAGAAGCCATTTATGTATAAGTCCCCCCAAAAAAAAATTTTAAAAAGAGGGCACTGCTTAAATGTTATAACTGCAAATACAAAGGAGTGCAATAATATAGGCAAAATATTCATATAAAAAATACCAGTGCTTTTGAGGATGTAGTGAAATTAAATCCTGATATTATATTGATGAGATTGCAAATGATACAGAAACTTCAAAAAGCAATTTCATATAGCATTAATACTTTGCTATTGTTGTTATTATGATGAAATATCTCAGGCTGGGCACTTACTAAAAAAGAAGAAGGGAGGGAGGAAGGGAGGGAGGGGGGAGGAAGAGGAGGAGGAGGAGGAGGAGGAGGAGGAGAGTAGTAGTAGTAGTAGTAGTAGTAATAGTAGTATAATTAGCCCACAATCTTAGAGGCTGAAATTCAAAAAAGCACAGTGCTATGGTGAGGGTCCCCCTGGCTATAGCATCTTGTGGTAGATGGACTCACAATGGCAGGAACACATGCAAGAAAGAGATCACACAGGGGGACAGGAAGCCAAAGTGAGGAACAAGTAATGACTTCCCACTAGGCCCTAGCTCTAGAAGATCCCAGAACCTCTTAACATCACCACACTGGGGACCAAGCTTCCAACACCTTTGGGGGATACATTCATACTATATCCAAATCATAGTGTGGAGTTTTTTTTATTTATTATTTGTTCTTTTTAAATATATATGACAGTAGAGTATATTTTAACATACTATACATACATGGAATATAACTTATTCTAATTTGAATCCCATTCTTGAGGTTGTACATGATATGGAGCTTCACATTCATATGTGAACATAGGCAAGTTATGTTCAATTCATTCTACTGTCTTTCCTGTTCTCATCCTCCTTTGTCTAATCCAATGAACTTCTATTCTTCTTTCCCCCTCTATTATGTGTTAGCATCCACATATTGGAGAGAACATTTTGCCTTTGGTTTTTTGGGGACTGGCAAATGCCATCATTTCATTCTTCTTTATGCCTGAAATATGTAGTTTCTCATAAAGTTACCATATGACCACACAATCCTACTCTCTTAGGTATTTACTCAAGAGAAACAACAATTTATGTTTACACAAAAACCTGTAAATGAATGTTACTGCAGTTTTACTCGTAACTGCCAAAATAGGAATATACTTCAACTGTCAAAAATATAAATATTTGTAGTTCATTTAGAGAATAAACAACATTCACAAGTACAGGAATGAAATACTTATGTATACAACACATGGATGACTCTCAAATGCATTTTGTGTAAAAAAGTGAAATCAAGAAGTCAGACTCAAAAGACTACAAATCCTGTAATTCCATTTATATGACACTCTGAAAAAGGCAAAATGATGGAGATAGAAATAGATCAGCAATTGCTAGGAGGTTGGGAGTGGTCAACTACAAAGGAGCAGCAGAATGAATTTGGGGGGGCTTGATGGAACTTTTCTAGATCATTATTGTGATGATATCTGCTTCTTACCATTCATCAAGAGAGACTTGTACACAAGTGTTTTAAATAAATAAATTTATTGATAAATCACACTACACAAAACTTCTCATCAACTGCAGAAACACTGTTTCCCTACAGATAAAAGTACACCTTAATGCCAGGTGCAGTGCTGTGATCCCAGAGGCTTGGGAGGCTGAGGAAGGAGAATCCAGAGTTCAAAGCCAGCCTCAGCAAAAGCGAAGTGCTAAGCAACTCAGTGCTAAGCAACCCTGTCTCTAAATAAAATACAACAACAACAACAACAAAATAGGGCTGGGGATGTGGCTCAGTGGTTGAGTGACCCTGAGTTCAATTCCTGTATCCCTGCAAAAAAGTACACCTTAAGTGTTTTCTAAGGCTTCTTTCTGAGGCACAATGAGGAGTCAGGTTTTATTACTTTCGCTTTGCAACTGAGAAGTAGCACAAATCAAACAATCTACAAGTTTCTGGTACTCATCAGAGAGGCTGTGCTTACATTTAAGTCCTTGATTTTTGTAGTCCACTCCATCACGGTATTAGATGACATCAGTAGTTACAGAGGTTTTTAAAAAGTCAAACTAAATTACTTGTTTATATTATTCCATAAACAAGAAGACTCAAACAAGTATTTTAGAAGGCTGGAAGTGTGCGTATGTCTGAGAACAAAGTACTTTTAAAACAATATACTATTCACACAAATAATTAGCCTTAATTTTGGCCTCAGAAATTCAATTCAAAAAGGAATCTAATTTCTAATACATTTTTAAAATAAGAAAGGGTATAACACAGAACAGATGGAAGAACTAAAAATGAGGCTCTAGATAAGGTACAGCACTACAGTAGAGACACACAAAATAAAGCTTTAGTCCTTCACCATACAGTGCAGATGCATGCATGTTCTTTCCTATCTTCTGTAGGTCTGACATGATACCCAGACCATTTAGGTTTTGTTGTTTTTGTTTTTTAAGTCAGTAATTCACTGCCAATGCCACATTCTTCTTGGTCAAGCTATCACTGAACACACAAGAACGACCTAAAGATTTATTCTGACTTAGCACTTTCATCTCTTTTTGCATTACTGGGAACTGAACCCAGTGGTTCATACATGACAGGCGAGCACCCTACCGCTGAGCCACACCCGTCTGTAACCCCAGCTGCTGGGGAAGTTGAGGCAGGAGTATCCCAAGTTCAGCCTCAGCAATTTAACAAGGCCCTAAGCAACTTAGCGAGACACTATCTCAAAAGAAAAAAAAATAAAAAAAACAATAAAATGGGCTAGGGATATAGCTCAGTGGTTAAGCGCCCCTGGGTTTAATACTCGGTACAAAAAACAAATTTTTGTTGTTGTTCTATTCAGGACTTTCCTGTTAGTTACCAGCCCGGAGCCCAGGCTGGTAGAAGGAAAACCCAGGCGTTGAGCCAAACAAGCGAGTCTGGGAGAGGAAGTAGGAGGGCGTATTTGGTCACAGCGCCTTGCCTTCACGTGCGAAGCAGCGTGCAACATTCCCGTGGGCTCTCTGGAGCCTTCCTCATAACCCAAGGGGAAAATGACAGTGATGAGACCAAACTCAGAAGCATGTGGTGGCTTTCCCTAGCCAAACGCGCTGGACAAGGGCCCAAAAAATGGGCGCCTCCCCCGGAACCTGAACCCATGGAGCCCACTACCAGTGCCCTCAGCTCCAAAAACTGGCAGTCTTTCACCCTGCACTCATGACCCTCCCCCAAAAGTAACTCAGGAGCTGAGGCCCGGGAACAGCGGCCCTCTTTAGGTAACTTGAACAGCTAGGCGGACGGCGGCAGGTGGCAGCGCAGGGCTAGCCAAAAGCCCGAGGCCCCAAGAAGGCACCACCCGGCGCAGGCAGCGAGGGCCCCGGAGGCAAGCGAGACGGATGTCGGCGGCGGCCTCCTTACCTTTTCAGATGCCCAAAGAGAGGTGGGACGTGTCCAGGTTCACCACATAGTCCCCCAAGAACCGGTTCAACACGTCCACGACCACTGACTCGAATACCATCTTCCTCGGCTGCGCAAGGTACAGCGGCCGCCCTCTTCTCCCAGTGCCCCGCCCTCGAGACCGCCCAGTTTAACGGCTCCTGGACGGCTCCGAATGCAGCGCCTCTGCCGCTCAGCCTCAGCGCGAGGCCGGCAAGGGCGAAGGGGCCGCTCTCACTGCGCTTGCGCAGCTCGGGCTTGTGGGTGGGGGCGGGGCGTGGTGTAGATCTGAGCGCGCCTCTCCAAGCGGAAGGGCTGCTGCGCGGCTGCCAGTCCGGCGCGTGCCCCATTGGGGCCAAAGCCCGCTGGTCTTCCTTGGGCCCCGCCTCCTCCGCATTGCCTAGCAACAGAACAAATGCTTGGTCTACAGGACTTTTCCTACCCCTTCCAGACCTGCAGTCCCGGGAGTGGACCTGCCACTCCGGCTGGACCCAGCACCGCGCTTCTCACCGCCAGGCAGGAACGCCCCTTCCCAGTCTGAGGAAATGATAGACTCCCCACCCGCCGCCATTTGAGCTGAAGGAGCTGCCCCTAAGTAAAGCGTGGGCTAATTCCAGCCCCTTCTCTGTTAGGCCAAAGGTTTCCCAAGGAGGTAGGTCAGGGAGCAATACCCCCACTCATTACAGGTTGGGAGGGTTCGGCCAGCTGGGTATTTGGACGGTTGTACTGTCCCTTCCTGTCCTCCATGCCCCGGGGAGAACGCGCCATCAGCCCTCGAGATATCTTAAGCTCCCTAGCTGCAAATGGGGGCTGGGTGTAGTGACCGAAAGTTAACTCGGGAATGGAATGCCACGCCCCCTTTCCTATAACTGCAATTAGAACAATTGGCACTTTTTTTTTCCCCCTGTTGTTTTTGGGAGCCGCCTTTCATTCCAAAGAATGACAGGTTTCTCACAGATACAAAAAGTCAGCCAGTCCAGAAACTGCGGAGTCCCTCAAAGGAATACTGAGTGCTTCCTGGATACTCGCTGCACCCCCTCCACACACCCGCAGCCACACACACATACGCGCGCGCGCGCACAAACACACACACACACACATCCTGCGAGCTTTGGGAAGTGACAGACTGTCTCGGAGGACTCAGACCCAGGAAACAAATTCAGGGTTGGCAGGTAGAAGAAGATGCAAAATGCAGTTAGTATAGTAGATGTGTTTTATTTAGCGATGGCCACAGTCTGCAGCTTCAGCTTCAGCCCCCATTTTTACCCCCATTAGCCCAGTTCACCCTGAGTCTTTCCCATAGGCCCTTTTTATATATGCAAATCAAAGAAGGCACACTGCCAACAGGTTACATGGGGATGGAGGGGAGCAGGACTCATGCTCATAAGTTAATGTTTATGACCTTGAGTATAAAAGCTGAATCAGAGTGTTTCTGGCCTTGACTTACCATAACATAATTGGTTTCTAGCCCTAGCTGCACATTAGAAACATAACAGCTTGCCGGAAGTCTCAGCTAGGTAACCTAACTACAGCCATTTTGGGGCCTAGCCCAACACTGACCTAAATTAAGTAAAAATTAGAGCTCTTTCAACCCCATTTCTGAGGTTTATAATAGCCCTAAAGGCCTGAGATCACAGGAGCACTAGATGTGAGATTTGGAGATGAGTGATCACCTTCTTACCTATTTCAGATATGAGTGTACCTTGAACTTCTCTGCATGTCAAATAGCAATGACTTCTGTTACTTTCTGTATCATATTACTATTTTTTTTTTTTTTTGTAGTGCTGAGCATTGAACCCAGGGCTGTGTGCATGTGAGACAAGCACCCTATCAACTAAGCTATATCCCAGCCCCATATTACTAAATTTTGAGCATAGTCACCAGGGTTTCTTTCTTTCTTTTTTTTTTTTTAATGAAAATAAGCTTTATTACATCAAGTAATAAATACATACAAAGATGCAAACAGTTTTAGTCATTTTCTTCCAGATGTTTTGATCAACTTACAGTAAACACAAACTGAAATCTACATACAGTCTTAGTATGAAAATTTTCGGGGTCCTTATTAGATTTGGTAGGTTGCTCTTTCTTCTGTATTTATAACTTGTGCACTCTTAAAATTGACTTCAAAGCACTAAGAGTCATGCAAATGCTTAAGCAAAAAAGAAGTGCCAGTAAGCAGAATCTACACTGTATGGCACATGGGACCAGCTAAGTGAAGCAGGTGGTCAGGATGCATTAAAACAAAGTCCTTGGGATCAAATGAGCTTATGAAAAGGTACAAATAACAACTTGGGTGACATAAAGTATTCAAAAGATTAAAGGGAGACACTGGTATCTTGGAGCCAAACAATAGTTTGCTGAAAAATAACTTCACATGCATCTTAAAAAAACAAAAACAAAAAAACCTGGGTCATTCCTAACTACTTAAAATGCAAATCCTAATTAACTTCGAAATCTTTTCCCAATATTTTGAGACTATGAATCTTGGGAGAAAAAACTAAACTGTTACCATTTTGAAAATGAGTATTTCATCTGAACAGGGGAGATGAGCTGTAGAGAGCCAGGAACCCCCAAGCTGGCGGGGAGGCTAGGACCTGGCATTCCGTTCCCTTTCAGCCAAGCATTCCCGAACCAGTCCTCGTGCGTGAATGATGCCTCGTTTTAGTCTCTCCATGGCGCTCTTGCTCCCTGCATAGGTGGGTCTTATCTCCTTCCCCAGCTCTTCAATGATGGCCAGCAGTTCCGCATACTTGCTCTGGGGCACCTGGCTATTTCCAGTTCCCTGGGTGTAGCCCAGCGATGGTGGCCCATAGTCACTCAGCAGCTGGCGGTACTGGGAGGATGCTGCCATGCTGGTGGAAGGCGAGTGGACACTTCCAGCGGCGTTGAGGGCGGCGGCGGGCATGTGCGGGGCCAAGTTCGGCTTGTAAGACATCCCCCCGGGCGGCGGGCGCGCCCGGCCAGGCCACGAGGGCGGCGGCGGCGGCCCCCGCGTCCCCGCGCCCCTCCGAGCGCCCGCCGAGCGCCCGCGCACTTTTTGTTGTTGACCGCTCGGGCGCACCGGCAAATATGGCCGTCCCTCACCCTGACACCGCCGCAGTATATCACCCATACATCGGGCGCGCGGCGCAGGGGCGGCCGCAAACTTTGAGCCGAGCCAGCGGGGCCGGCCCGGCCGGGAGGGGCGGCGGCGTCCTCACCAGGGTTTCAAAACTAAAAGTTCAAGTTTTATCTTTGCAAGTAGAATAACTGGCAAAAAAAAAAAAAGGTGTAAAATTTTATTTTACATGAATTGATTAATTATTTTTATACAATCTTATATTTGAAGGGCCTTTATAAGGTCTTTTTAAAGGTCTTAAAGATAATGAAGTGGAGATGTTAAGGTTTTCTCCAAAGTCACACAGAACTGGAACCTGGCCTTTCTAACTGACCTCACTCAGTGGTGGAGGTCAGAAGCACTGCATTGCTTCTCTTGCATTTGGCTTACATTAGAAATCTACTACAGGATGCTGGCCACTTCTGGCTTAGCCACTACAGGATGCTGGCCACTTCTGGCTAACACTGCCTACTGCCACTAGAGCTTACAGACAAGTATACAAAGCAAGTGTATAGCACAAGTATAATGCACCTGCTGCCACTAGAGTTTGTGGACAAGTGTATAGGATCAAGAATTCATATTGTGATGAATGATAAGGAAATTGATGGAACTCTTCTAGGATTAACTGTCAATATGGTGCTGTAAGATGTCACTGAGTTTGACATCAGAAGGAAAAAGGATTACTAAATCTGATAAGATTTTGCTTAATGGAAAGAATATAACAATGTTGGTTCCTGAAGGAGAGGGACCTGAAGGATGAATGATTTTCCTTGACTTATACTAGATTCCATTTTGTTTTATAATAGATTTTTTTAAATCTTGAGTATTTTTAAAATATATATTTTTTAAATCTTTTAATGTTTAGGTTCTCTAAGGATAATTTTTCCCATTAAAGGGAAATACTTTCAAGATATATTGTATGACCAAATTTCTAAATTAATCATAATTATCATGGAAAAAGAAGAAATTAATTCAGTTCCTTTTTTTTGTAGTTGTAGATGGACAGAATGCCTTTATTTTATTTGTTTATTTTTATGTAGTGCTGAGGATCGAACCCAGTGCCTCACACGTGCAAGGCAAGTGCTCTGCCACTGAGCTATAGCCCCAGCCCTATGAGTTTGGTTTTTTGAAGACTAAAAGGTAAAGACTTTTTGGTTGGAAAAAGAAAAAAGAAAAAAGAAACCTATTTCAGAATATCTGTATGGAGAAACTAATAGAGGCGAAGATACTTAGCAAAGGATAAAGCCCTAATGAGGTATTTTGCTACTTTACTATTAGTAAGAAGCCAGATGTACAGTAGCCACAAAATTCCATTGTTATATCAACCATCATAAATTTAAAGTTGCAAGAACTTCCAGAATTTACTCCAAAAATGCATGTTTAAGTATCTTGACAACTTAATATTGGTTTTCTACAATCCAAGAAACGGGAAAGGGTGCTGCTGAAAAATTAGAAGTATGAGAATTTAATTGCTGAATGGCAATGAAAAAAAATCTACTGAAGAAAGTTTAGAAATAAAATTCATATTGTAACTGAATCCTATTCTAATATTAGGTAGTAAATCATGAACAACACATTTCCCTGTTACTCAAACATATTATTTACATTCAGTCATGGTGTTGCCTAATCCATCCAAGGAAGTTTGCAGGTAAAACTACGTTTATGCTATAATGAAAAACACAGGTACGATAATTAAACCAAATTTCTATTGGACCTTGAAAAATAAGCCTAAGAACTACTAAGAAAAAAGTTCAAGTATTAAATTTGGGAATATGTCTATGTAAATTGTTTTTCTTCCATAAACATAATTAAAATGTTATATTTCGTTGTATCACCAAATTGTATGATCAGATGGGAAAAGCCTGGGGGAGCACTCAAAGGACCCCAAACTACAATATCATCTAACTTCAATAAATTTCTAACTTTTGTAGGTAGGACTTGCTGTTTTATGTTTAGTTTCTGTCTATGAAATTGCATGCTGGTAGTGATCTTGAACCTTTTTTCTGCAACTCTTAATTCTTCTATCCACTAGTAAACATCTTTGGGGTTCTGCTTGTCTTTATCATTAGTTTTATAGTAGCAGGCTAGA